GAATATGGATAAATGTCCTGATGTTTTTGTTACTATTGTTAAGGATATTGCTGATAGGTTAAGAGTTTTGGAGGGTCTAATTCGCTGCGTAGCTAGGACAACTAATATTGAGGCTGACGGTTTAGCTAAATTTGGTGTTGGCTAAGTTAGGGAGCATCTGCTTGGGTGGTTTTTCTTTTTGATTTTCGGGATTTCAGTTGTAAGGGGGGATGATCTTGGATGTATTCTACTCTATGTAATATTTTTTATTAATAAAATTTGAGGCACTCTTTTCCTCCTTCAGCTGATTAAGGAATTCCTTTAGGCGTTCCACTAATCATGAAGGGGGTTTTTAACGAGGCCTCCTCTTCTTATAAAAAAAAAGTAAAGCACAACTTTGCATCCCTCCATCCCTACCATATGAATGATAAAACACTGAAAGTACACCACATAGAAAGAACATTTATACCAGGACTCCATCATTCCTTTGTTTTCGACGCTTTAGAGTAGCTTGAATCTGCAATTGGAAGTCACGGAATGCATTAACTATTTCTGAGAAAAATTTCTTCTTTCTATTCTCCAAAAGGTTCCTTTCCTCCTCTCTCAATCGTGATAGCCTCTGCACAAACAAAAAATCACTTCATCAACAGCACACGAGAAATTCCAATATCCTTTTGACACATGAATATATATATATACACACACAAAGAGACATACATATACATATTACTTTTAGATAAAGCTTAAAATGATTTTTCATTCTACAAGTTATCTTCCTTTTCTCCTACTACAAAGGTTGGCAACACTCGTTAAAGGGGGTTCCTATGATTCTACCATACCAAAAATTGACTAACTGAACACTCTTAGCAATTTTATCCTTTTCTCATAAATCCTCTAGAAAATCTCTGCATGGGTCGATTGCCATATCCTTCACATAGCCTCTCTCGTGTCCAAATAAATGAAGAGCTCAGGAAATCAGATCTCCAAGGGAAAATAATTTGAAAGGTAAATACAAAATGGAAAAACACAAATTTCTGAGGACAACCTCATCCCATGAAGTTGAACTTCAGTTATTACAGAGTTATTAAAAATCAATGTAGATTTCAATACCCACTTTCTCAAGCAACATTAATTAAAATGACTAATAAATAAAGCAAACGACCTCGTAGTCCTGTTTCTTTCTCGTTTGATCATCAGCTTCTGTACTGAATGGAACAAAAATGCCATATGGAGGAAAAGGCAATCGTGTCATGCCCCAGTCAAACAATTGCTTGTCAGGATATGCACAATTGACATGAAGCCAGTATTCAGAACTTATATAAGAGCGTATCTTGCTTTGCAACTCTGCTAGCTGCCAGAGAAAAGGTCTCATGTCATTCATCAATACCAAGATAAAGTGAAATATGGAAAATTATTCATCATAACCAATCTAAGACCTTCAGCTGCAGTCATTAATTAGATAAAGGGCTAAAAGTGCAACAGGGAAGATAGTGATATCATATCTTGCCCATTATATTGACTGCATTTGGTCAACTTTACAGAACTTTGAAAGTCCTTAACAGATAGTAACAACATGAAACAAAATTGTAAAACAAATTAATTCCGCATCCAAAGTCTATAAGGGGAGAAACAACTTAATGATAGTGCAATCAACAGTTCCTCTAACAGTACAACAGATGATTGCATTTGCGGTAATAATATGGAGCTCGCATAGCACTTGAGAAAAACGGATTTTTCTGTGTATCTGCAACTTTACCACATTAGTTTACCTTTAGTCCATAGAGTTCAATTAAACACTTTGTCTGCAGGTCCTCCCCTCTGCTTGAAGGCAAATCTGATTCAAAACATAAATGCATAAGTAATCCTTCTAAAATGGTTGTCAAAATACAACTTGAAATGAAGTGTTTCTAACCTTAAACTCATAGATGTCAGTAATGGCGAAGAAAATAAGATTTTCAATCACTAATTTTAACATATCATGACTACAAAAAAAGGAAAAATACAGAATATAAAGTGAAGATCCTTCTTAGAAAATGATAACCTTCAAGTTCATTCAATCGATGATGAATGTGGCTCTGGTGACGGTTTTCCTTTGATGCTGCCAAGCCAAAACCTGACGTGCATTTTGAGCGTTGTTTCGATAGTGCAACATCAAGATCACACAACAAGTCATCCTTCTCAGAAATAGAAGGATCATCCTGCCACATATTAAATCAATTTAAGAACACAGAAGTCAATTTATGACAGTTACAATTCAGAAGTACTGAAATTATTGCACACAGCAATGGCAACCAAGCTTTTGAGAAATTAATTTCCTTGTAAAAAGGCCAATACTGAAAGCCTAAAAACCTACAAATCAAATATACAAATAAAATTCGGTCAATTCAAACAGCAGAAGAGGGGGGATACGTCTTACTGAAACAGAATCCTCCAACTCCTTCCCTCCAAAAACTTCAAAATTTTCAACAGCAAAATGGAAGAACAATAAGAGAAAATTATTTCTCCCTATAACAGATCAAATTCAGATGTCATAAGAGAATCAAATCCAAAAATCTAAACTCATTTTCAGTACACGGACATGTTAGAGTTACAAACGAAACAAAAAATTACCATCTCAACAATAAAAGAGAGTGCCAAAATTTCAAAAACAGTTCGTCGCACAACATCAAATATAATAAGAGAGTATCTACTAAAGACACAAAAATACAAAATTCTCAGAGAATGTTTTTAGGTTATTAGATGAATTAAGTTACTACATTTGGTGATTCAGTTATGTTTTTCTTTAAAAGAAATACTAATTTTATACTAGTATTGCTATTTTGTAATTTAATTACAAATACAATACTTCAAAAATATGTATATTTTAGTTAATGGAAAGATCACTTAAAAACATGTATTCAAGCAACAAAAATTTAACTAAAAACTTAATAATGTTGACCAGTATTGGAAGAAAATTCACATAAAAATCAATTTCGAAAAAAATTACTCGCGGATATGGGATTCTGTATTGAAATAAACAAAAGGGTATATAATGAAATAGCATAAACAAAGAGGAATAGACGCAAAAGAAAAAACAATTCACACATTTCTAAACAAAACAAACTTAAAGAACAAAAAAACCTCAAATTCACAGCAACTGCTACGGAATGAAAAGCGAAAAATCAAAAGGGAAAATCCAAAACTACTCACCGTCGTGTGGGCAAGTCCGGGCACATCAGGTCCAACCTCAACCTGGGTCCCATTATCAATGGCCTCGAGAAGCCCCTCCTCTTCTTCATCAAAGCAAATAGAGGAAACGACGTCGAATAAATGGGGAGGGAGGGGGAGATTTCTAGAGACGAAGCTAAGGGCACAGATCAAAGACTTGACCTTCTGTAAATCGTCTAAACAAGGTTCCTCCTCCTGCTGCTGCTGTTGGGGATCTAACTTAGCCACCATGGCGAGAATCAATCTGTTGGTTTTGATTGTGGGTTTGGGGGTGTGGTTAGCATAGGGAGGGGGAAACAAAGGAAACAAAAAATCCCTCTTTAATTTATTTTAGGTTTAAATTTGTTAATGGTCCTTGTACTATTTTTAAAATATATAATTTAATCTTTATATTTTGATTTTATAATGTTAAATCCTTAAATTATTTTTGATTTAGTTTTATATATAAATTATTTTTATAATCACATCTTTTAAATTGGTGAAGGATTATGAGACTTTCTTGGCATATATGCGTGATGTATTTGTGTGTTAGACTCGTAGTTTAATTTTTTTTTGACTGATTTAGAGTATTCTTATGTGTTTTTTTAAGAATTGTTTGGTTTATCACCTGATCGAGAGTTGGAATTTGACATTGGGATTTTACTTGGTATTACATTAATATCCACAACATCATGTCATATGATACCGATCGAGTTAAAGGAGTTGAAAGCTCAACTTCAAGAGTTATTGAACCAAAACATTATAGTCTTAGTATACATCCTAGTATATCTCGATTAACAGGTTAACGTCTAGCTCATTTGACCATCAATTTTTTAAAAGAAAAGAACGAATTTGAAATAAATGAATAATTAGGTTATCATTTTGTAACTTTTAATAATTGATAAATTTAACAAAATAATTTCTTATAATAGAAATACACAACAAAACAACGTCAAGACATTTGTATATTTTACCTTAAAAATAAGATCAACCTCCTTATTACATTGTCACTATAATGATCAAACGCATCAAATAAAAAAACAAAAAAGGTAAAAACCTTAGATACGAACCAAAAACGGTCGAGAAAAAAAAGGAAAACCCCTAGAAATAGACACTCTTTAATGTGATACAATAAAAATTAAATGTTAAGTTGATGTGTTTTATAAAAGAAATAATTAAATGTAAATATGAAAAAATATTAGAACTTTTATTTCATACAACTCCTTTATAAAATATATATACATAAAAGTTGTAGGGTCCAGTTTATTTGTAAAACATATTCGTTTTATCAATAAAGACGGACATATAATTTTATGTCAAGTGTACAAACTTAATAAATTATATTGAAATTTATGAGGTAAAAAATTACAAAATTTTAACTTATGTAAAATTAAATCATCAATGAAATATATAAAAAAATTGAATAAACTATATAAAAATTTTAAATTTTTTTAAGAGTGTGATTGTAGCCTAATACTCTCCTAAATCTATCTCTCATTATTTCATTTTTTGATGATGACTTATTTTATTTTTTTTATTTTTTAATTAATTTTAATTATATACTTATAAATTTATTATGAGATCAATTTTTTTAAAAATATTATATTTATAATATTTAAATTTAAAATTCTTAAATTATTCAAAAAATATATAATATTTATCCTTACAGTAGCCATTAAGCAAAGGGCACTTCCGTAATTCAGTTAAACTGAACCGTCTTATCCTCAGTTTAGCCTTATCAAGTCGGAACAACTGAAAGACACATATTCAATCTCTGAATTTCAATTCAAAGCTTTATAAACATAAAGCAGTTAAAAAATTGGAAAATCTCTTAAGACTTAAGGATGTCAAACTCTGTGTGCTTTACTTCTGTTTGTTCCTTCAACACTCCCTGTAAACCAGGTAATCAACAAGTAGATGTTTTAGTGATATTGGTTTATTCATATACGGCCATGTTTTGACCCCTTTTTTTCTGCATTTGTTTTAGGGTTAATTGTTGATAATAAATCTTTCCCGAGGACGGATTTTCGGGTAAATGAAGTGTTTAAGAGTTCAAGGAATGCCAGAATTCAATCTGTAGAAGCTAGGGTAAGAGTTATTTTCTTTTAATTTCATTCACAGTCCTGTTAAATTGTCTTAATTTTGAAGTTTTTAGTGAGGTTTGGGAATTTTCAAGTTCGTTTGGACGGACGCCGGATTTTATGCTTGTGGCGAGCTTATAAAATTTAGAGATGAAAATAGACTATCAATAGAAAATACGAAGAAAATAATTATATGAGAATTTGAAATGTTCAAGGCAACCGCCCCCTCTCAGTCCATCCTTGAATATGAAGGATGATTTAGATACTGATGTTAGTTGGGTTTTTGGACTTAATTTCTGAGAATGTCTATGGAAGTTTCCCATTCTAGAGTGGATGATAAAATAGAGAACTAGGGGAAGCAATGCAAATTTCAACTTTATAGTCAGTGTCGATATATCAGTATCCGGCTACATGAGTATGCCGGTTATGAAAAAGGAACGATTCACTGGATAGTGAGAGTATGAGGATTATGAATTCACCCTTGATTCTGATGAAATGAATGGGCATTGTCTTGTTGGGGCATCAAATTTAGGCTTTAAAGAAATCACGGATCTTTGTATAGGACTGGAATTGGGAAAGGTAGAATATGTTTAAGGGGAAAGTTCAGTTTTTTTTTTTGAAATCTTTCTTCTTAGTTTCTTCTTATCTTTCTGTAATTTTCTGCTTGCATGTTTACTTAGATTTTGGTTTAACAGGCTGCAGATAAAAATCAAAGTGTTAAACCAAAGAGCATCGTTTGCGAAGATTGTGAGGGAAATGGTAAGCTCAATTGTGGCTAGTTACTTTATGCAGCTGGACATATGGTATCCTGAACATCGACCTAGAAGGATGCCTTTGAACTGCCAATTTTATTAGTGTGTTTAGTGATGACATTCCGCTCTCTCTCTCTCTTTATCTATATATATAAATTTCCTGCTGACGAGTGATATATGCATACTATATGTTAAGAATAAGCGAATATTAGTCTTCATCACTTTTGGTCTATATGCACCCTATGATGCTCACTTATTACTTGAGAGTTCTTTGTTTGAGTTCTCTAATTAAGACAACCGGAATACAATTACAACTACTCTATGTATCCGACTACCAGGTGCCAAACAGTGTCATCAATGCAAAGGTACTGGAGTTAATGCTGTTGATCACTTCAACGGACGATTTAAAGCCGGTGGCTTGTGCTGGCTTTGCAGGTGCCAATCTCTTTGCCTCCTCCAGTCATGATAACTTGCACTAATATCATTTATGTCAATACATCTCATTGTTCACATTCAAAATTAATTATTTATTCTTCTTTACTCCTGCTGTTTGCATAATGGGATAAGCGGCCGTCGAAAGTTTGAGTTCCTATTTCGAATCATTATCGAGAACAAGATGGAACACTGATGTAATTGTTGCAAAAGAAAGTAAAATATTATCTCTGAGCTGTTCAATTGACCACAGTTACTAGGGTCTTACCAAGTATCAGGACTTATCTGCCATTGTAGAAACAGCTGGCACATTCTTGGTTTCAAAGCCAGTTCACTGCATGAGTTCATCGATTCTTTGTTTCCCATGTAGGAATCCCTAGTTCGATGCACGATGAACCCTATTCTGTAAACCCTTAGAGTAAAAGCATGGAACATGAAGCGGCAATGTTAGGAATTATTGCTTGATACAATTAATCTGTGTGTGTTGTGTTGCAGGGGGAAAAGGGAGATTTTATGCGGGAACTGTAATGGAGCTGGCTTTATGGGTGGATTTATGAGCACATCTGATTGACTAATGTAACATGCTCAAATTATGGGTTACTTTTAAGGACATGTATGATTATCATAACATGTTTTGGATTTTTTTTTGTGTTTCTGTCATGGGATTGATTGATTGTTTTTGAAATGCTTCAAACCGTTTACATGTCTATACTATAATTCCTGCTTACGGCATTGGCATGCGCATCTCTAAGTCTAATTGGTGGTGCCATCAACTTCTGTTAATAAGAAGTAAAAATAATTTTATGTAACCGAAACATCAGCGTCGCTTTCGCCGAGTGGTTAAGGGGTGTGCTTGCTAAGTACGTGGGTTTATCCCGCGAGAGTTGAGGAGACGTTTTTAAACTTGTATTTGAAAATATTTATTCTCAAATCAAAAAATATATTAGGAAAAACTACATATTTTGTCCTTAAACGTTTAGCAAATTTTCTTTTTGGTCACTAAACTATAATTTTTTTTGCATATATTCACTAAACGTTCAAGCAACGTTCCATTTTTGCATGTATTCAACTCGACTGAAACTTTATATACTCGATTCGAATTGAAAATGTTTTAAATTTTGAGTCGTAAAATACAACTCGTTAGTTTGAATAATCCATAATTTTTTTACTCGACTCGATCGAATAATCACTCCTATGTGATCATAATATAATTTTTATTTATATATATATATAAAGATGATTTTTATAGTATTCTTCTCTATTTTATTAAATAAAATAATTATATATATATATGGATCAATTGAGTGAAGTTTAATGTTTTATCTCAAAAATTAAATTAAGTTTTGAATCAAATAAAATATTGTTAAAAATAGATCAAATTGTACAAATTGAGCGATCTCTCTGACGATTGTTATCATTATAGATCGTGGGTTCAAATACTATCTCTGTAGAAGTATTTAAGCCTTTAGAACAAATATTATCTTATAATATCTTCTGATTAATTAAAAAAATTGGATAATCAACTTCAAATTCAAAGTAAAGAAGATATACTTCTCTATCAAATTAGATTAGACAAAATTTCAATTGAATCCGATCCGTTGTAATCAATATCATATAATACACGCGGTCTGAACTCTCTGGCTGACCAACACGCAAGTTTTGATGATTCACACACACGCATATCTCATATATGTAATGTGCCCTTCACATAGACGAATTATATTGTGATTTTTAAATCAAAACAGAAGAACATCGATTCATTACTATGATTTAATCTGTAGTTTTACAACAAAACAAAGCAATAAAGGAATCCAACTGTGAGAAAATCAAATAAAATCAACTAACGAAAAGCAAAAAAGATGAACCTCGTAGACTAGTTCTTGTGGGTAGTTTTATGATACTTATCTTTGATCCATTGAATCCCCGAAAACGTTCCTTGTTTGACCTTCTTCATCCCGGTTGAAGCTGCAGATTTGGTTTTCTCAAGCCCATCCCCGACCTTCTGCTTGTACTTTGCGGTTACACCACCGCCGCCGCCGGCGCTGCTTTTCTTCTCGGTCGGAGCCGCCGGGTTGCTGGTGTCCCACTGGTCCGCCCACGATGATCCGGTGCCGTAGGAGTTGTTTCCTTCCATTACGAGAGAGATGTAAGAAGAGAATATCGGTTATATTTTGTGCAGAGGATTGGGAGTTGCTTTCGCTGGTCAGAGATGCTTGGGAAATGTTTGGCGTGCTTTTATAGCCGTTTATGACTCCAACCAAGAATACTTGGCCGTGTCGAATGGCTCGAAATCACGAAAATAACCTTTCCTTTTTATTTAAAGAATATGTTCTTTTAGTTATTGTATTTCATCTATTTATCGACTATTTCAAATCAGGTTTTATAAAAATTTATTATAGAAGTGATATTTTAAATCTAATTTGTTTCATTGGTAAATATTAGAATTTACAGAAATCCATTATAAGAATAACTTTCTCGATCTAATTTGTTTCATTCACAAACATTATGGCTTAAACTTCTGAACTTATTTAAAAGATATAATACTTAGTTTCATTAGATCATTTAATTGTTGATAAAAAAATATATATGATTTTTTAATAGTTTAAGGAATATGCTATGCATGCTTAATTAAGGGAAATGAATCCTTAATTTTTTTAGAGATTGAGAGATAATATTAGATTAATTAAAGAAATAAAATTATTTTTATAATGTTGCACACGAGGCTGTTAAGAGAGATAGATTAAGATGGAAAAGGTTTTGGATTTGAAGAAGAAGAAAAGAATAAGAGAAGACACATGATTTTTGTTTTATTTTTTTAATTGCCTCTTAATACTTATGTTAGTAGATTAACGGAAGTTAACGACTGAGGGATTAAAACCAAACAGACTAATAATGTAAGTGATCAAAATCATTTTTTTAACCGGTGACCAAAATCGAACATACCAAATTCATAGGGGATCATCTGTATAGTTTACCCTTTTTTAATTCTAAAAATAAATTTAATTAATCGTCTCACTGATAGATCCATGAATATTTTTTAAGATAGACACGTATATAATAATAACAACATAATTTTTTGAATGGGTAGACACAAATAAAATTTAACGGTGAGCATCATCAACAAAATAAGCAACTAATATAAAAAAAAATCAGATTTTAAACTGTGTACGTGTCCATCCTAAAATACATATACATATATCACTCAATCGTTGTGTGCTTTTAATAATTATTTTTTAAAAAGGAAATTTTAATAATTATTTGAATATTAATAATTAAACACATATTGCTATATTATCTTAAATTTAGATGGTAAATATCATGGTAAAATCAGTGTATATTTTAACCTCATTGAAAGCCTTTCAAGTTCAATTACGTTAAATCACATTTGTAATACGATTTAATCAAAAGTGAATTTATATCATTTTTAATTATTTTCTTTTACAAAAAGTGTACTATTGTTTTTATATAAATTGTTATCTTTTTTATTTTATCTTAACCAATTTCCGATTATCTTAATTTTTTTACATTAAAATTGCAATGATATATTTGGTAAATATTATTTTTGAAAATTATTTGGTAAATAATTGGATTAATAACAATGGGTTGAAAAGATGATCAAAGGACATTTTTATTTGGGAAAAAAAACATTGAAGGGGTAGTGTGGCCAAAGCGACATTAAAAAAAAAAAGAACCGCGTAATTTTATTGAGCTTCTAGAATTATCTAGAAAGCCAAAAAAAGAAAAGAAAAAAGGTGGTGGGATAAAGTCCTCTCCAAGAAGCTTCCGCCTATGGTCATGGCCTACGCCATGTCTCCGCCGCCACCCGTGTACCTTTCAACAATATCAATCTGTGACAAAAATATCAATTTTTGTAATGTCAATGACCAAAATAAAAATATATTAATAATTAAATATCAACAATTAAATTGAATTATTTAAATAAAACTATAATATTTAATCTTTCTAAATATAAAATTTAAATCTCAAACTTTGTTTAAACAATCAATAACAAGTGAAAAAGGATGATATATGTAATATCCTAATTTCTTCTAAATTCTTTTTAAATCACAATAAACAATTAATCCAAAATCTAAAAAATCAAATAAATACTTATTTGAATCAAGTTACAAAATATAATAACCCAATTACAAAATCCAATATCCATTACATACATTGAGCCCAATCCAACTTATCCAAGAACCAATTAAAGGAAAACATCAGTTAACCCAATGGCCTAAACGACCCAAATCTACTAATCATTGACCCAATTAAACCTATTTACATATCTACAACCCAAAAACATTACCTAAACCTACAGCCCACCACCTTAACCCATTAAAACGACCCAACTACATAACCAAATATCTAAATCGATTAATCCAGATCGAATATTGCAAATACATATTATAAGGATAATATTTCTAATTCTGTTTATTTTATTCACAATGTCAAAATTTAAACTTTTAATCTTATTTAAAGATCTAGTACCTTATTCTATTAGATTAATTGTTGATTATTAATTATTTTCTTTATTGTACATTTTTTACCCAGTATCTTAACAATTAATTTAAATGATCAAATCAAGGTGGTTAAATAAGACTGACCCTCTTATCTATAAGCAGGGACGAAACCATAACTAAATATTGGTATGGACCGAAATATTGGACTATTTAAAAAAATATAAATACTTATTAAGTATTTAAACTCGAAATTCAACATGAACTAAGCAACCTTAGTAATTAAGTGATTGTTGTTATCCTTGAGGTCTCGAGTTCGAGCACTGCTCATGTGGGGTATGAGCGTTCTTTGTTAAATAGTTGAGAGTCTTTGTACATATATTATCTTGTATTCACCCTAGTTTATTTAAAAATAAAAGAAAAGAAAAACTCAAAATTCACAAGATAACATTTAATTTGTGTAATATTAAGACTTACAATGACCTAAATTGTTATAGACAAAAAAATTTGAGAACACGAGGTTATCATTCTTTAATTCGATCCTACTTGATTAATTATAAGGAGCATTTAAATAAAATAAACCTAAAAGAATAGGACACCTTACTTAATCCAACAAAACATTACAACATTCAAGGCCAACCAATAACTTAGGCTAGTTGGCTTTAGCTACTCTAATTATTTATTTATCACGTAGTTTTTTTAAAAAAATCATGCCATTTTTTTTCTACATCTTCTTCATGAGATGATCGGAAAATATAAGAGACAATAGTATGTTTTAAAGATTTTAAATTCTTATATAATTTAAATATTTTTTATTGATATCTATTTTTATATTTTTAAAAATTTTAAAATAATTTCTTAAACATTCATGTTCCTAACATAAAACCATACATATTTTATTGTTTTTTCATCTCCAACTTTTAGGTTTTAATTGTTTTGCTAGGAAATTGTGGTTAGTAGATAATTTTTTTGAGATATAATATTTTTTTATCTTTTTTGAGACGTGTAAGTATTATTTTTAGACATAATATTAAAAATAGCTTCCAACATTTATCAAACAGTTTGTTTGGTCTCTATTTTTTTTAGTATTTTAGTCCCAAACGATTGATTTTAGGGCAAAAGACTCTTAATTAATATTTAACTAAATAGTCACTTCGACCATTGTTTTTTTCTTGAGTATTTTGATCTTTTAATATTTTATTTTAAGATAAAAATACCTTTATTTTGGAACATTAATTGTGTATTAACTAACGATTTTCATTAATGAAATAAATTTTATCTCAAAATTAAATATTGGTGGGTAAAATACTCATAAAAAGAAAAGAATTGAAACTAAAATGATTGTTTAATTAAATTTTAGGAATATTTTTTTATATTATGGATTTTATTTATAGGTTATTGGTAGGGGCTACCACACTCTTCTGTGTTTTAAGAACCCAACGGTTATTGGTGCGTAGGCCAAGGAAACCATTGTGGTCCTTCTTCTTGCCCCTTTTCTAGGATCGACGGAGATTTTATGTTGATATATAAATTTATAAAACTTTAGGAGGTAGATTTATAAAATTTTAATATATGAAAATAAATTATCATTAAAAAAATATATCTAAAATACATGAAAATTTAAAATTTTAAAAATATAAAATTAAATTTGTACTCTCATGTGCCCCTCTCTCTATATATATAACGGTAGAAGGATTCATTTGTATTTGTAAAATTGAGTTTTGCACACATTAGCAAGTTTATATACTATTAATATTTAAACAATTTAATCTTTGAATTTATTAATATCATTGTATTTATTATGAATGTAAATTTTTGAATCAATATAATATATCTATCATGTCGATTTAAAAAATATATTTATTATAAACAACTAGTTGGTCTAGAGGATAAGGCGTTGAATCCTTTAAAAAAGGTCACGGGCTCAAATCCTGATGTTTGCGAATAGAGCAAATTATATTGAGGGGGTCCCTATTGACTCTGCAGTATCCAATCTGAATTAATCGATTAATAAATAAAAAAATGTTGGTTAAAATAAAAGTAATATATTTTATTAATTATTTACATAAAACAAATAATTAAATATTTTCAATTTATTTATAACTTGACGTACACAATCTATATAAATAGAACATAACATTAATGATTGAATTATTAAAAGATTAATAGTATAAAAACTCACAAATGCATATAAAATTCACTTAATTTTACATTGATATATAAGATTATTTTAGTTACATGTCACACGCATGATATTATCAAATTCTAACATAGTCTAATTAAATTCAAATTATAACATTATATTATTATAAAAACTTACATGTGTGTATAAAATCCATTTATTTTCTTAATATTTTTTGGAAATATTTTATCAGGAGAAGTGATTGGATTAAATTCAATTTTATTTTGTCAATATAAAATTTTACACACAAAAATGGAAAATATTTTAAAAATAAAATTCCTATATCATAGATAATTAATCCTCATTTAGAGCATGATTTTCATCCCAAATCATAAGCTGAAATCAAGGTAATATTGATTAATATATTCAAATTATATTAATTTTCCATACATAAAAACAAAAATTACTATGATACCTCTGTCATTAATTTTTGCATGCATAAAAGGACTGAAAACCCAAACCTTATTATCATGAACAAAATCATGTCTCATATATCAACAATTGTCCTTTTGCTTTCACTGATTGTATCCTTTACAACACAATCACTCTCGCTATCAGTAGAAAAAGATGATTTGATCCCAAAAAACATCAAGAAAACTGGGTTTGACCTTAAAGGACTTGCGTTGATATCAGTGGAGATACTTCAAGAACATGCTAATGACACTTTAACTTTCATTGTTGACCTATACAGAAATGTTACCGACCCCAGTTTATCGAGATTCTACGGCAGCTGCGTCGAAAATTACGGTGCCTCGGTCGAAAGGTTCCTGCCGGAAGCCGTTAAAGCTTTGGGTTCTAAAGACTATGTGACGGCGAAAAATGACGCGGCAGCCGTGGCGAGTTATGTTGACGCTTGTGACCAGCAGTTCTCCGAGAAGACGCCGTTTAGTGATAGGAATAAGCTTGTGCACGATCTTTCTGTTGTGGTATCTAGCATTATTGGTTTGCTGGGTTAATTAGGTTGATCTTTGTTCATGTTGTCGAGAGTCATGTTCGGTGCGACGGTTAATCAATAATGACAATGAACAAGATATATGTTTTCTTTGTTTCTAATTCCCATTTTTCATAAATCTTGAAATTGAAATCCTTGGCATTTAGTTTAAAAACTAGTTAATCCACGTTATTATTTTGTAATATATATTTTTTTAGTTCTTTTTGGTTTATCGATTCATTTTTTATTTTAAGTCTGTTTTTCTTTTATTAAATTTGAATCACATGTTCCTCGACTATTATAAAATATCGTATTGCTTCAAATCATCATTTGGAAAGTAACTTTTTCCTTGTTGTAATTTAACCCTCCAATTTTGCATTATTTTCTTGTTCCTTTGATTCTTTTTTTTTTAAGTAAAACTTCAAATAAATTTAAAATAATAAAATGATACTCATAAACTAAAGGGTAAAGCACATAAATGATCCTCTGATTATAGGATATTACTTTGTTGAGTCCCATAACTATTAAAAGTTATAAAACGGTCCTTCATTTATAGGGAGTTATTTTGTTGAGTCCCTCGACTATTAAAAGTTACAAAATGACCACCCAACTATTCATGATGTTTCAAATTAGTCATTTTCCATTAAACAATTAACGACGGTTTGAGATGGACATTAACTTGCTAATTGAGATATGATAAAATATGATCTTATAATCTCAAACGACTATCATATCTCAGTCAGTATGTTAATGTCTAGCTCATACGACCGTTAATTTTTTAACTAAAAAAGGACGGGTTTGAAACATTATGAATAGTCATGTGACCATTTGTAACTTTTAATAGTTAAGGGACTCGACAAAACAACTCCCTATAGTTGTTGGACCATTTTATAACTTTTAATAGTTAAAAGACTCAATAAAATAATATCTTATAGTCGGAAGACTATTTATGTACTTTATCCTAAACTAAATTAACATATTTTTAAATATTTTTTAAAATTAAGTAAAAATATATTATATTCCCTAAATAAATATCAAGATTCTAACTCATAAAATAATACAACATAAACATTCTTCATCACTCTATCAATTAATAAATTTTAATATATATATATATATTATTTGAATCCACTTGATCGAATATTAAAACTTTAAACAAGTTATTTAAGGGAGGCCCTTGATAGTCCTAAGGAGGCCAAATTTCGTGTGGGTATTGGTAGGAAGTCCTACAACTGGACTGACCTCCAATTGTCATAGATTCCCCTATATAGGGTCTACCGTACCCCTCGAAAAGCCGAAAGACACCCCAACCTTGTCCCTTTTTCAGCTTTTCATCACGTAGTTTCTCTAAAGAAACAGAAGTTTCTCACTTTCTATGACATTCAAATAAAAAAATAGAAAAGATATGAAAAGAAAAAGGCACACCAATCAGATATCATCTATATATAAAAATATCACCCATTTAATTCCAATATTTTATTCAAAGTTTCACACCAGTTTGCTTGTGTTCACAACCAAAACACAAAAAAGCATCAGTTTTTAACAAACATGGCTTCAATATTGAGCTCCCAAGTAATGGTGTTCGCCGAAGCTATGGCGGTCTCCGGAACTGTAATTCTTCTCGCCTTCAGATTCCAGAAATGTTTCCCTCTCGATCAAATCCATATTGCATTCCCATATTTTAGCCCGCTGTTCATAACTATTTTCACCATTTTTATTTTCTTGGGTTCTTAGAAGGGAAGAAAAGAGAGAAGAAGAAGAAGAAGAAAGTGTCCAAGAAGCAATGGAGAAGAGTTCAGATTAGGGATGAAGAATCGTGTTGGGATATTCAGCAATGATTCTTCTTCAACTGAAGCTTTGAACTGTTCCAGCTCGAAGTTGAACAAAGTGGGTGGTAAAAATGGAGGAGAAATGCCTGCAAACAGAGTTGCTCTTTACAATGGAATTCTAAGGGTTCGTGGTGTTCAACGATTGCCTTACTCTTGCTGACAAAATGAATGCACAACCTTTTTTTTTAATAATTTGCTGCACAGTCAATTTTCTTTTCACTGCAGTTTGAGGTTTCTGTAATTTTTAATTTTGTAAAATAGTAGACTATATATATTCATTTTGATGTCATTTTTGTAAAAGGCTTTAATGACAATACTTGTCTTTTTCTGTAAAAGTTATTTTGGTATGTTTGAATTTTAGAATTTAAAATATATAATAATAACTGTATAAACTAAATTAAGATATTAAATATTTTAAATTAAGCTAATTAATTTTTTCAGGATATTGGGCATCGGTTCAGTTGACACGACTACTATTACAATATTGAGGAAGTTCAGATTCAGTGATGTATCTGACTCTGATTTTAGAAATTTAACAGTTATGAATGATCTAAATATTATAATTTTTTTCAAGAGGTTTTGGTTTGAACAATGTAATTATCTTTACTTTATAAATTTAAGAGTTATAAATAATTTAAATACAAGTATCTTTACAAAAAGATTAATTTCACCAACTCATATAAAATCTTAAGAGATAAAAACTCTTTTAAATAATATTTAGAATTCAAAATATACAAATCAATCACATTTCTCTTGAATGTGGGAAAAAGATTTGAAATTTATGACTTCTTATTAATTAATTTTCTTTAAAAATATAGAATAAAATTGATTATCATCTTTTAAGATGCGTTTGATTTATAAAAAAAATATTATTATTATAGAAAATAATGATTTTTTTCTTCAGAAAATCATTATCACATTTGTTTTGCAAAAATTCTCTCAGGTGAATGAAACATTACAAATATCGTCATTTCCCCCTCATAATAGTAGGGTTGTGAAAAAATACCCGACCCGGTTGACTCGATCCGAACCTAAAAAAATTGGGTACTTTTCTAAAAATTTTAACCGGTCGAGTCGGGTACCCGACCCGACATTTCCCGGATCGGGTCTGGGTCACAAAATTGAATTTTTTTCGAGTAACCGGTTAGGAATTTTTGTTTATATATAAAATAATATTATATTATTATATATTTAATTATTAATAACATTATATATTAAACTTATGGGTTATTTATATCTAATAAACTAATTGCTTGTAGGAAAGGAGAATGACAAATGAAGAAGTGTAGCCATGATCATGATTCAAGTATCAAGGTATCTACTCGTATATTTAGCTAAGAAATTTTATGTTTTATTTATATTATCGATTATTAGATTTTGTATTTCGAAGTTTTAAATTTTATGTTTGGATGTTGGATTATATAATTCGAAGTTTCGAAAATTTAAATTTGTGTTTATTTTTTAATTAATAATTTGAAAAAAAAATAGGTATCTGGGTAACCGTAAAATCTGGGTACCCGCAACATCCGGGCTGAGACATAAATTACCCGAAGATTGTCCGACACTTGGGATACCCGAAAACTCGGGTACCCGGATTTGCACACCCCTCCATAATAGTGGAAATATCATTTCCACTTATTTTTAGGTACTGGATTAAAACTGTATCTTATTTTATTTTAATAAAATTCACTGTCGTTTTAAGGTTAATTTTTTTTCATTATATAGATTCTTGAGACATCTTTCATCTAAATTACTTGTAAATTCAATTTTTGAATCATGTTTATTGAGACATTTTGATGATTAAAAATGATTTACAAAACTTTTGTAGTGATTTGATCTTTAGGTGATCTTACATTCGTTTCAATATTTAAAGTTTATTAAAAAAATATATCATCGAAGATAAATTGATAAAATTTACTTTTGATAAATTATATATATTTTTCATAGAATATTTATTATTTAGAACATATATTATATAATTACTTTAGATTAATAAAAGATAATCTTATATTCTATAAATAAACGTTTTTTTATAACGATCCTTGCATACAATTTATTTTCCCGAAAATTGGAACATTCCACTGTTTGAAAGTTCACGAGAAAGCACCCTTGACCTAAAGCCTCAAAGTTGATGAATGATTGATTGGCCACCTTTCAAAGAAAATATGGGATTTCCACTATTTTAATTAAAGTTTAAATATACATTTTACTTTTTTAATTGTGAGCTGATTAAATCTTTAATTGAAAAATTGTGATAAGTTGAACGTCTTTACTCGGTGGCAGATTCATTCTTACTTTAACGTGGGTATGCATTCATTTTAAAATCTAATTTTTTTGGTTAGTTATTTATGTTATTGATGTACCCGTTCTAAAATTTTAATTGTAGATTCCCTATATAAAATTTTTATATTATTAATATATATATATATATCCGTCCTAAAAAATATTTATGAGGACGCCACTACCTCTGTGATTATATCATCGTTGATCACACATCAAACTTGCATATGCTCCTTGTTTAATTATTGCAACGTATTCCACTGATTCAACATGAGTAACTTCCGTCTGGCAAGAGGAACGCATGATCCACAAAACCTGGAAACCCATGTGCAGGACGGTGGGTTGGAAAAGCTTAGCTGAAGAGGATTTGCTTGCTTCAGCGTGTCTGCGTGTCGGATTTTGCGTAAGGAGGATCAGCAAGTCATTGATCTAATAAAACTGGGACTTCTGTTGGTTTCCAGATGATACTTTCTAGCTTAGAACAGAAATTCTTGTAGAACTGCGGAAAGGAAACATCAGTATATCAGTAATTGATCGGTGATAGACATTACTTGACAATTTACTCGGATATCAAACAATATACAAGAACAAGCTAGCATAATTACACACTCTAAGAAAAGTTTATGAGCAATTAATTGCTTGATTAATAACCATCCATATTCAAGTCAAAAAAGGTTTTGCAAAACTACAAGACCAAGGCAGCTAAGAACTAGCCACATGCATGTTGGGAAAACTACAGAGACAGTACAACAAACTAAAATGAATCCACGATAATGTTCACTCTTCATTCATAAAATAGCAGGAGATTCCTATCAAAAAAAATAAAATAGCAGGAGAAAAGCTTAGAGATAGATGTTTTAACTCATGCAAAGAAGATTGAAAACAGTGGCAAAAACGGTGAAAGGTAAAACTTCGA